GGGACCAAAGACAATCATTTCAGTTTTGTCTGGGTTTAGCTGAAGGAAGTTGTTTTGCATCCACTCACTGATCTGTCGGATACAGTGAAGGAGTGAGTCCACTGGTCCATGTTCTCCTGCAGTCAGTGAGACATAGATCTGAGTGTCGTCTGCATAGTTATGATAGGACACTTTGTTTCTGCGTATTAACTGACCTAACGGCAGCATGTAGAGATTGAACAGAAGAGGTCCCAGGATCGACCCCTGTGGTACTCCACAGGTCAGGGCCATATGATCTGAGACACAGTTTCCAATCTCCACAAAGTACTTCCTGTCTTCAAGGTAAGACCTAAACCAACTTAGGGCGGTGCCAGCGACGCCAACCCAGTCCTCTAGTCTCTGTAAGAGGATCTCATGGTCGACAGTGTCAAAGGCAGCACTTAGATCTAACAAGATTAAGATTGAGACTTTGCCTGCGTCAGTGTTCAGCCGGATATCATTTGTAACCTTAACAAGAGCAGTCTCAGTGCTGTGGTGGGGTCTAAAGCCGGACTGAAACATATCAAATGAGTTGTTGATTATAAGAAATCTAGTAAGCTGTAGGTAGACAACTTTTTCAAGGACTTTCCCCATAAATGGCAGATTTGAGATGGGACGATAGTTGTTAAGTACCGTAGCATCCAGACTGCTCTTTTTTAGCAGGGGCCTGATGACTGCAGTTTTCAGGGCCTTTGGGAATATTCCAGAATGAAGGGACATGTTTACTATCTGTGTGAGTGAAGGTAACAGACTGCTCAGAACAGACTTCAGAAATCTAGTGGGTAGTACATCCAAGCTGCATGTGGAGGAGCTCAAACTGGAGATTATCTCTTGGACAGTTTGATCATTTACAGGTGCAAAGTAAGTTAGCTCAAAGAGCCTTTCTGGCTGTTGGATGGTTATCTGTGGATTGGAGACAATGGCGTTTTTGATGCCTTGAACCTTGTCATTGAAAAAATGTGCAAACTCATTACATTTACGTTTGGAAGTTAGCTCTAATGGCATCTGAACAGGGGGGTTTGTTAATCTATTAACTGTTGAAAACAGAACACGCAGATTGTTGCTGCAGCCTTCAATCATTTCAGAAAAATACCTTTCTCTCGTACTACGTAGCACCCGGTTAAACTTTCACAACTTATCCTTGAAGATCTTGTAATCAACCTGGAGGTTGGACTTGCGCCACTTCCGCTCGGCCCTCCGGCACTCTCTCTTTTGTGCCCTGACCGAGTCTGCTTTAGCCCACGGCGCCTTCTGCTTATTTTTCACTATTTTAACCTTCACAGGAGCGATGGTGTCCAGAACATTCAAAACACTAGAGGTGACAGAGTTAAACAGTTAAACATCTACAGTAGAATACGATGCATTCTCAAAGTTTATCATTCCCATAAATAGTTCACCCGTATTTTCATTTATGTGTCTTCTTCGTACAGTTGCAGAGTCCACTGGTGGTTTGTTAGTGAAACACATGTCAAAAAATACACAAAAATGATCCGAAAGCGCAACATCGACCACGTTTACATTAGAAATGTTCACCCCCTTTGTAACTAACAGGTCTAGAGTGTGCCCTCTGCTGTGGGTGGGGCCACTCACATGCTGAGTGAGACCAAAGGTATCAAGTAAAGAACCCAGCTCTTTAGCATTTCTGTCATCAACATTATACAATACAATACAATACAATACAATTTATTCTTGTATAGCCCTAGGTCACAACAGAAGTCATCTCAGAGGACTTAACAAAACCATTGAAATCACCAACACAGGTCAGAGAATCAACAGTTAAAACACATGAAAAATATAAAGCACACACAGAAGAAAATGTCCATACATGTTGTAGAATGCTAAAGTGTCCTGATCATCACCAATCATTTCTGTTGGACACTAACTGTCCAACAAGACCCTCCTGCATCGACAAGGTAAAAACTCTTAAAAAACCCAGTGGGAAAACGTGAGAAACCTTGGGGAGCACTAGGGAAACCCACAGGGAGGGAGACCCATATGAGAAAGGGATTCATTCATGTTTCAGCCATGATCATAAGATTCTAGATTATAAGAAACAAATAAAATTATAGATTAAAAAAGACTTGTTACAAAAGAGATCTGACATTTAGCATAGCAAGGTTCAAAAGTTTCAGGATCACGGGTGTGGTCGGCTGAATTCTTACACGGAACAAGAATTAGATTTTCCTGATTAGACTGATTAACTTAGATGTTTTTCTGTCATGTATTTCTTTGTGTTATCACTAAGGGTATGGCACTGGTGGCTTCAGTGACAGGGCCCCAGCCGGGTTTCTCCCTCTAACATAGACTGCCAGGTCTGCGAAGCAGAGACCCTGTGCTACCTCGTGTTTAGAGAAAAAGAGCGAAGGGGGAAGGCGGGGGAAGAGGATGAGAGAGCGGGGGGTTCTTGGGAGTTGGACGGGGGGGGTTGAAGGTGGATGGGTTTTTGGGTGATGGGTTAGGGGAGGGGCAGGTCTGGTTGGGTGGTGGACGAGGGGGGAGTGGTGGTGGAGGGTTTCTTGGTGCTAGTTAGGGGTGGAGGTGGGCTAAAATGAGCCAGGAGGGGGGGGTGGAATTAATATGGGGTTAGAGGTAGGGACGGGTGGATTTTGTGGGAGAATTTGAGTTGGACGCCATAGGTGGCTTTGAGGTACGTATGGGGGGTTAGTTTTGAATGTTAGATAGGATCTTGATCTGGCTACAGTGAGGTGTGTGTGAGAGAATAGTCTTATCGCGATCTTATCATTCCTGCCGATGTGTTCCGGTAATTCCAGTAGTGAAGGCGGGGGATAGAAAACAAGGGACAAGGTACGTCCTCATTTTCCCTAGATGGAGTGGATGTGCGGGAGGGACCCAAGACGGGGGGTCCATGGAAGGTGATGAGGGAGTTTTGGTGGAGGACAGTGGGGGTTGAGGATTGACCCCCATTACAGGTCTGTCTTGTAGCCGAGCAATGGGGAAGCTTCACGGGGGCTGTACGGTGGGGAAGGTGGCTGCTGAAGATGATGGAGCGCCACTGCTGCTGCTGAAGATGATGGAGCTAGCCACTGCTGCTGCTGTATCCACTGCATAGCTGGTGATGTATATGGCTGATTGGCGCTGGATGAAGATGTGGCAGCTGCTGATGATGCGGGGGGGTTGAGGCGTTGAGCTCGTTCGGGCGAGCGGAGCGTGGAGGTGTTGAGTTCTTGTGGTACCTTGGAGGTGGGGAGTTCTTCTTGAATCGTGGAGGTGTGGAGTTCTTTTGGGGTGGTGGGGGCATTGACGTCGAAACTAGGGGGTGCGGTGGTGCGGCCCGCACCCCCTCCGCGTGTGCCGGGAGCGAGGAAGTTATCATTTCCTGCGTTCCTTGCCAGCCCAAAAACCGCTCCATGCTGTCGTGTGAAGCTTATGAAGCTCTGTTCGGCTAATATTGTCGCAGCTCCTCTGTGGCGCTACTTCTCAGCCTCAGGGACCTGGCTACACCTAGTGTCGAGAGGGGGTGGGGGATATATAATGTGTTAATATGATTTACTTCATTTAAAACAACAGGTCCTACAGAGTACAGGAGCGCGCTTATACACAATTTGTTTGGGCTTACAGGAATGATTTTAATGTCATGCTTTTGTTTTTCTCATCCAAAACGCAAACAGTTTGTTAAAACATCGTACAAAGTGTGTTATGGTCCTTACTTAGGTATTAATGAAACAGCTCAGACCACTTCAGTTAGGGACCAGTGTTCATGTTTAAGTACAGATAATAGTTTGGGCACAGGACATGTAATCCTCCTTTTGGAAAATAAGTTCAATGAGTTTTTTAAAAAGTAAAAAAAAACGGGTGTCTCCTCCGTAAAACTCCGAGTTTTGCTGCGCCGACTCCGGAGGATATCCAATTTCTAAATTCATACCTTACCCTTCACCTCCTGTTTCTTATGATTAATATATCTTTGGAAGCTATAAACATTACTCTAAGTGCATTTTAAATTTATTCTTAAAATGTGGTTTATTGGTAGGTTAGCCAATCCTGTAGCTTGCCTTAGCAGAAGAAGAAAAGAAAATGAGCTTTCTGATGGAATGGATGCAGCCATAGTTTGGGTCACAAGCGCCCCCCCTGAGCTTTCCTCATTACAAAGCTGTGGTTGAGCGCGATTTATAGGACCCATAGTTGCTTCATAATAACAATTTATTGAGCCATCTCTTTATATGTTAAACATGTTGCTTGTAAATTAAATTTTTTTTGAACTGTTTAAAACTGTGATAAACAGGGAAAAACAGTTTGATAGCACATCAACAGGTCTTCCCTCGTGAACTGTTTTGCTTTTACGTCTCCCATGAGTGGCTCGCCTCACAGCTCCGCTCTGTCTAAATCTGCGTTTTTTAAGGTATAAATAAATGAATATGGCACAGCACAAATCGAATGGATTAAAGTGACCATTCATTTTTGTATCCATTTTAATTTACTTTTCTATTCTATTGATCTTAGGTGGGATGGGCCTTGCCTGCATACATCTGTCAGCACTTCTCTGGGCTAACATCTAACACAATGATAGCCACGGAGAGATGTGACGCCATGTATGCGTAGTGAAAAAAAAAAAAGGTCTGTTTGATAAGTGTATCTTGCTTGTATAGTATTGTTTATTTGGTGTGTTTCTTAAACTATTTATAGATGGTATGTTATTAATCCAGTGATTTCCATGTTGGAGTCTGCTCCTCGACCTCTCCCTAACACAAAACCCGCCCCCCTCTCAAGAAAATAGTTCGAAGTCATTGGGGGGTAGGGGTGCTGTGGTCCTCGGGATGCTCAGGTGGAGTTGGTCGGGATGGCTGTGCCCTGTGCGTCTTCTTTCTCCCTTGCGATCGGCAGGCACCGCGATGCGCATGCTGAGGCCGTAGGGCTGATGCCAAGGGTGCACTTCAACAACTGGTTCGCCGTAGTGGTTCTGAGGTGGACCGTTGTCTTCTAAAAATAGCTCGTGCCTTTTCCAGTTCTGAGTATTGTGTTCATGAATGCCTAGTCACATCGGAGTGATTCACGCTTTGGAGGTGGTTGGTTGGGTGCGGTGTCTGTAGGCGCGTATTAGGATAAAGGGGTGCCATTAGTGTAGGTGGTTGGGGGCCACACTCGTAAACTCCAATGTAGCAGAGAGGTAAAATCTCGAACAAGCGGAACCATGAGAAGCAACGTCAAATAATCGGAAAAGGGACGCGCGACAGGAGGGGAGCGGGGAGGTGAAGGGCTGGGGGGAGTGGCGCAAACGGGGACGCGTCTTTGAAGGCGCACACGACCTTCCGAGGCGCGGACCACAACGCGAGGACACACGGAACAGTGCAGCACCTGGCCCCAGCAGGACGCGCCCGCGAGGGGAGAGGACGACAAGTGGCACGTATCAGACAAAAAGAGAGAAATAACAGGGGTAGAGTCGACACAACGTGGGAAGTGCCCCTGCCGCCGACCGCGGCGCGGGCAGCACGGAAGGCCTCGAACGGGACGTGGCGGGCGGGGAGCAGGGTGGCAACGTCGGTGTGCAGGGCAGGGGACCAAAAGGACCAAACAGACGGGAGAAAAGCATTAGAAGGAGCCAATTCATCGGCGGGAGGGGGCGAAGAGGACAAACCAGGCGGACAAAGGAACTCCGCACCACACGCGGGTCACCAATCCACTCAAAACCCCCGTAGCGCGGGGAACAGAGCCGGAACGGGGAAGGTGACACGGCTATGGATGGTGGTGTGGGGGCGCGAGAGCGACGTTAAGAGGAACACCGCCCCGTCAGAAGGGAGAAACAAAAAAGGTTCCGAAGGGGGGACTACGTGGGAGCAGAAAAAAGACAAGAGAGGCGTACAACTCCGAGGTTACCACGCACAGACCGGACACGGGGCGGAAAGGCGCCGAACCAAACGCAGGAGAGATCGCCAGTAACAATAGGAGGAGAAGACGAGGACCACGGGGCTGTAGTGGGAGTAACACACAATGGGGAGCAAGTACAGCGACCACCACTCGACACATGGACGATTGGTATCTAAGCCCGAACCCAGAACGAGAAAGGGGGTGCCAGAAAGACGGGAGACGGCGAGGTAATCCATGCCAAAACGGATGCGTGGGTGGTGGAACAGAGAAGAGGAAACGCGTTGGGAAGATAAGGCCCACAAAGCACCCGTAAATGGAGACAAAAGGGTACCGGAAGACAAAGGGTAGCGGAGGAGGATGGGACAACGAGGAGACGCACGTCAGGGACGACGACAAGGGAGAGTGAGAGGGGAGCCAGTGTACCACAGATACCGAGCGAGTGACGCCAAATACAAGGGGCGGTGCGTACGGCAGTGACCGTTTAGACCAGCTACGGGAACAGGAGGTAGGTGGGTTCCCAGAAACGGCCGCGGTCGCTAGTCAACTAGGGCGCCGTCGCACGGGGCTCGAGCACAGGCCCGCGGATCAGTCAGAGTCAGGCGTAGAAGAAGGTGAGAAAGAGAAAGTATCGGAGTGAGACAGACGGGAGGAACGGCTGAACAAAAGCGATAAAAGTCCAGTGTAGTTGAGCTAGCAATCGAAACAAGGTGCGTATCGGCCAAACGGTGAGTGACCGTAGGTGGGCGTAACCTAGTCAAATGCCAGCCAAAGTCAACAGGTACTCGCAAACAGAGCGGCCGTAGAAAGGAAAACACCGTGAGTAGAAAGTCGCGACGTACGCCCTAAAACTCGTGGAAGGACAGACCAGAAGAGGTGGGAGCATAAGGCGCACCGAGGCACACTTACAGTTGGTTCCTCGACCGAATCGGACGACGCTGGTTACAGGACCATGTCGAACGGCTGTGAACCAAACGGGGGTAGCCCCCACCAGTGAGGGTGGATCGGAAGTCCGGGCGCTAACGGTGGCGTCGACTGGCAGTTCACGACCGCCGGAAACAAGCCAGTCACAGCCGTGCGGCCCCGGTGGGAAAAAAAGAGCAAAAATGCAAGAAACGGGAGGAGCAGTAAGCAGAGCGAGTGGACTAACAAGGTGAAATCCACGTGGGTGCAGGCCCCGGACAGTGGTGGGCGCCGTCGGCGCAGTCCAATGCGGGGCCAACGACGAGTACCATGGGGTGTTCTCCAAGGGAAGGCCACCGAGGTGCGGTTAGACGAAAGGCGGTGTAGTGCATGCGGTGGCAAGAGGGACGTTGGGGAGCAACGTTGCAACGTGTGGCGACGTGGGGGGGGAAGAACCAACACACGACCTAAAAGGGGGGGAGAGGGAACCAACTGCAGGACGCCTCGTGGATCGCGACAGCGCAGTAACCAGTGTCGAAACATCACAGAGTTGAACGCCGTGGGAGTTACAAGCAAGGGAGTATATCCAAGGGTGGCATCAACACAAAACATCAGACCGAGAGTGCCGCGGCCAACAACCCAGCGCGAACACTTCACCAGGTCTGATGTTTGGTCAAAATTTCCAGAAAAGGGTCACACCACGAACGACCCCAGCCCAAAGCACAAAGGTGGAGGCGCATACAACTTTTCATGCATGTTCAGGGGGTGAAATTAAGGCTCAAAGTGCAGAATTTGACATCTCTCGAGCAAAAACAATAGGCCCTTTCCCCGTTCGGGGCTCGGGCCTAATAAATAAAAAAAAAGGAATTTTTTTTTTCGACGTCTCGAGCAAAAACAATATAGGTTTCAATGGCACCTGATACATCATTTTAAAGCTTTTGAGTTTACGCACGCAACCGTCACGTTTTGGTGAGTGACGGGCGCTGACGCGTCCGTCACGCACCGCCACCATTTGTTTTCACCATTGTGAAAGCAATAGGCCCTTACCCCGTTCGGGGCTCGGGCCTAATTAAAGCCGCAAGCGGCGTCGAACGGCCCTCGCCGCACCGCGCAACTCCCTGCACCGCGCGCACTCCCCGCACCACGCCGCCCCGCACCAAGCCGCAACGCGCCGCTCCACAACGCCCCGCACTACGCCGCACCACACCGTACCACGCAGCACCGCTAAAAGGAGGTAGCACCGCCGTGTGATGATTTGTTTCCGTAGCCATAGAAGAATGTTAGTCAAATTGTAATGAATATGATAAGTAGAGCTGGTTTGGCTCCCCATGTAAACTTTGACACAGTCTGTAGGGGGCGCTAAGGGGCCGATTTCCAATATTTCACTTTAACCTGACCTAAACCCTGGAATTGAACAATGGATGAAAGTTTTGTGCAAATCAGACTTTGTTTGTGCAAACAGGAGCAAAATTAATGTTGTCAAAAAGAGCCAAAAAAACCCTTACATTTTGCCGCTCCGCTGCTCAAACAGCGTTTCACGGATCAAAATTCCCTGAAGTCATTTTGAAGGTACATGTGTTGAGATGATGTGGAGCGATTTTGAGGCGAATCGGTGAAACAGCCGAGGCTGGTTTGATGTTTGTGTGAGGTGTACATTTGCAATGAATGGGGAGCGTTTCTCGTCGCCACGGCAACAGGGTAAAAAATAAACCTTGGACCCAATTGACTTTTTGAATCAAGAGGGCAAAACAGATTTATGTGCAAAATTTCAAACATTTTGAAAAAACTAAATTTGAAAATGCCCATCTAAAACTTTGAAATAGTCTGTAGGGGGCGCTAATGTGTCAATTTGAATTAATTCACTTTAAAACGACCTAGACCCTAGAGTTGAACAATGTATTAATGTTTTTTGCAAATCAGACTTTGTTTGTGCAAACGGGAGCAAATTTAATGTTGTCAAAAACGGCCAAAAAAGGTCACATTTTGCCGCTCCGCTGCTCAAACAATGTTTCACTGATCAAAAATCCCTGAGGTCATTTTGAAGGTACATGTGTTGAGATGATGATGTGGAGCGATTTTGAGGCGAATCGGTGAAACGGCCGAGGAGGAGTCGCTTTCCAACCGACATGTATGAATACTTTTGCTGTTCATTTTTCCATTTTGCAGTGAAATTTATGGGCTTCCTGTTTGTCAGAGGGCGGAGCCATAATAATATTTTTTTCTTGTCTTGACTTGCGGAACATGTGTACCGAATTTCATGACTCTACAACAAACTTGATCCTCAGAACTCCCATAGGGGTATTATTTTGGCTGTTGTAGGTGGCGCTGTTCTGGCATTTTTTGAGTCCCATAAAAATAAACACCAAAATATCAAATTTTTCGCCAGGTCTGATTTTTGGGCAAAATTTAACAACTTTTCATGCATGTTCAGGGGGTCAAATTAAGGCTCAAAGTGCAGAAGAAAAAAGAAAGAAAGAAAGAAAGAAAGAAAGAAAGAAATAAAAAAGGAATTTTTTTTTCGACGTCTCGAGCAAAAACAATATAGGTTTCAATGGCACGTGATACATCATTTTAAAGTGTTCGAGTTTACGCACGCAACCGTCACGTTTTGGTGAGTGACGGGCGCTGACGCGTCCGTCACGCACCGCCACCATTTGTTTTCACCATTGTGAAAGCAATAGGCCCTTACCCCGTTCGGGGCTCGGGCCTAATAAAAAAGGAATTTTTTTTTTAACGTCTCGAGCAAAAACAATATAGGTTTCAATGGCATGTGATACATCATTTTAAAGCTTTTGAGTTTACGCACGCAACTGTCACATTTTGGTGAGTGACGGGCGCTGACGCGTCCGTCACGCACCGCCACCATTTGTTTTCACCATTGTGAAAGCAATAGGCCCTTACCCCGTTCGGGGCTCGGGCCTAATAAATAAATAAAAAAGGAATTTTTTTTTCGACGTCTCGAGCAAAAACAATATAGGTTTCAATGGCACGTGATACATCATTTTAAAGCTTTTGAGTTAACGCACGCAACCGTCACGTTTTGGTGAGTGACGGGCGCTGACGCGTCCGTCACGCACCGCCACCATTTGTTTTCACCATTGTGAAAGCAATAGGCCCTTACCCCGTTCGGGGCTCGGGCCTAAAAATGAAAAATATCAAACATATTGATGTGTGTATTCAACTTTTGTGAACACTTTAGATTAGCCCAGACTAATTTTCAGCTAATTAAGTGATAATTATTGTACTCTAACGTAACTCTAACTGAACTCAAACTCGAGGTAATTAGTCAGAACTAAACCAAAGTGTGTCCCAACTTTTTTTTAAATGTAAAACTCCAGGGCTCACCTTTGACGAACATACAACTATGTAACCTACTTTTACTTTCCATCCATCCAGTTTGTTCAGTGGGTCAAATATGAGATCAAACAACAGAAAAACGTAATGCCTGTATCCCCATGTAACTCTTTGACTCAGCCTGTAGGGGGCGCTAATGGGCCAATTTCATTTTTTCACACTCTCAAGTGACTTGGGCCCAGGAGTTTGTAATGGGGGGGGTGTTTGATTATGGAGACAAGAGGGAATCATGGAGTGATTTAAAACAGCTATGGCAGAGCAGTGGTGTGACCAAAAAAGCGGCAGAGCAAACTGTTAAAAATAAAATAATTTATTACAATAAATCAAAACAAGGTTAAAAAGTCTTTAAAATGTGATAAAAAGTCCCGAGCGCAGAGGGGCAGTCTTTAGGGGACCTGCGCACAAAAACAAAAAGAAAGGCCGGCAGTAACAATTCTCCACGTCTGATTTCAAATCTCTTCAAACACGGATATCTATTGTGGAAACAGAAATGGGACTTAACCCGACTCTTCCAATGAGTGAAAATGGGATGAATGGACAGACTGGAAATGTAAGTTATGACGTCATTTCTTTTCCCAAAATCAACAATGAGAATTATTGGAACAATTGTGGAGCTAAAGCTAAGAATGACAATAGGAGGGAAATAAGGCCACAACTAAATGTTCTGAAGACTTCAAACCGCTTTTTACCCCTTTCTGAAACAACAAAGCCGCTAACAACTGCAGCGCCTCCACCAAGGACAAACTGTGTCCTTATCGGAGATGGTTCGGTGAAAAATGTAAACATGGAGTCCATGCTCACTGTCTCAGTTCACTCTGCAAAAGTTGCTGAGATAAGAACTCTTCTGCCTAAAGTGTTATCTGAGAAAAGTGGTGTGCGTACATTATTGATCCACACGGGGGCAGTAGATATCTATGAGAAGGCAAGCGAGAAGTTACGAATGGATTTAACGCTGTTACTGGATGAACTCAAGAAAATGGACATAGCAATTTTTTTTAGTGGACCACTTGCAAATATAGATGGAAAAATGGAAAAGTTTAGCCGTCTGTATCAGCTAAATACATTCCTACTCAATGAGTGTTCACGCAGAGGACTTGGCTTCATTGAAAACTTTAATCTGTTCTGGAATAGGCACGAGCTTTTTGAAGAAAAAGGTCCACATCTGAACAACTACGGAGTAAAAGTGTTGATGGATAACTTTGCATCTACCCTAAGACCTCAGCCTGCGCAGCGCGTGCAGCCGTCGAAAGGGAGAAAGAAGAAGCAAAGGGCACAGACATCACGACCATCTCCACCGACTCCCGAGGTCTCTGCACCCCCACCGCCTCAAAAGAACTCCACACCTCCACGATTCAAGAAGAACTCAACACCTCCATGGTTCCAAAAGAACTCAACACCTCAACGGCTCCGAAAGAGCTCAACGCCTCCACCACCAGCATCATCAGCAGCTGCCACATCTTCATCAGCGCCATCAGCATATACAGCACCAGCAGCAGCAGTGGATACAGCCGCAGCAGTGGCTGCTCCATCATCTTCAGCAGCAGCAGTGGCTGCTCCATCATCTTCAGCAGCAGCAGTGGATACAGCCGCAGCAGTGGCTGCTCCATCATCTTCAGCAGCAGCAGTGGCTGCTCCATCATCTTCAGCAGCAGCAGTGGATACAGCAGCAGCAGTGGCTGCTCCATCATCTTCAGCAGCAGCAGTGGCTGCTCCGTCATCTTCAGCAGCAGCAGTGGCTGCTCCATCATCTTCAGCAGCAGCAGTGGCTGCTCCGTCATCTTCAGCAGCAGCAGTGGATACAGCAGCAGCAGTGGCTGCTCCGTCATCTTCAGCAGCACCTTCCCCACCTACAGCTCCCGTGAAGCCCCCCCATTGCTCCAGGCTACAGTCAGGCCTGTACTGGGGGTTCCTCAACCACCTCTGTCTCCACCCAAAGACTCCCTCATCACCTTCCATGGACCCGGCTTGGGTCCCCCCCGCTACATCCACTCCATCTAGGGAAAATGAGGACGACCTT